CTCAGGTCTCTCGCTTGCAAAGCGAGTGCTCTAACCACTGAGCTACAGGACTCCACCAATTTAAAACAAACCAAGAAATAAGCCAACACTGAACCTAAATAAACAATTGAATTAGGTTTTATTTGAACACAACGGCTGACAGACCAAGCCTAACTCACTGTACACTTGGTTTTAGTGTAAAGATGAGGGTGAACATGATCCAGATGCTTTACAATGCTGAGAGGTTGATGTTCATCCTTTCTACCCCACATCTGCACCATGATCCACTCTGCCTTCCCCCACCTCTGCAACGTCACCCGGCTCCGACACTGTCTCACACCGCAGGCCACAGAAACCCTCATACATGTCTTCATTACATTGAGGTTCGACTATGCAAACTCCCTGCTTGTCGGCCTCCCCAACTCCTCCCTCCACAGGCTGCAGCCTGTGTCCTCTTCTGCACTAGGCTCCGCGACCCTATCACCCCCATTCTTGCCCAGCACTACTGGCTTCCCATCACACAGAGGATACAGTTCAAGATCCTGGTTTTCACCTTCAAAACCCTCCACAGTTTTGCTTCCTCTACCTATCCGACCTCCTAACCTGCTACCACCCTGTTCGCTCCCTCCTCTCAGCGGGCTCTGCCCTGCTTCACATCCCCCGCCTTGCTCGCCCCACTATCAGCGGGCGGGCCTTCCGCCACTCTGCAATTCCATCCCGCAGTCCCTCCATCTCATCCCCTCACTCGCCACCTTCAAGATCCACCTCAAGACCCTCCTCTTCAACAGTACTTTCGTTCTCCCTGCTTTCCCCACTGCCCTCCCCCCTTCCCCACCCCGACCCTCAGCTCGGGTCCGTAACTCTGTTTGTCCAGCACCTTGGGATGTCCTCCCGATGTGAAAGGCGCTATACAAATGTAATTTTGTTGTTGCTGTTGTTGTTGTTCATGAAAACTGGCCATATGAGAGCAGGACTAGAAATTATACATTTAAAAGCCTAACCTCAAGTTTAGACTTTTCCAGTGCTCGCTGATCTCCCTTTCTATTCTCCACAATCTCCAACCCATCTAAACTTCTGGAGCCCATAAGCCTTCACAAACTAGACTGTACACAAGCATCACTCCACCTTCACCAGGCCCCACTGGCCCCCAGGACCCCAACAAATTGACATTAGAATCCTCATTTTGACCTTCAAACCCTTTCATGTTCTGTCTAGCATACACCTAACCGACAGATTAATGGATAAAGTCCTCATACATGGCTCTGGGATTCTTTATTAAGGGATGCCATTAAGAATTACCACAATTTAGACTCATTAAAGGGGGGAAAACTTTGCTTATTAAGAGCAATCAAGATCCTCGTTATAAACAAGTTTAAATTCTTACCAGTGTGCCTGTCAAGGAAGAGTATTATCCAGCGAGAGTTGCAAAGACATTGAGACAGTCAAGTCAGTGAAATAAGCATCTGTCTATCCTGTACCGTGTCTCTGCTCTACAGAGGGCACGATACTGCAGCCCGAGAGAGGGTCAACAGAGGGTCCTCCCCACCCCCCCACCCATGTTATTGGTTTCATAATTAACTTTAAGGTACTGCAAAACCACACGCCAATAGTCTGGGCCACATTCCATAAACAGAGGCCCTGCTCCGCAAACCACAGCAAATTGTTCAGTGCTTAGTGACAACATTGCTCTGTGATAACATTGGTCACTCAAATACAGCAATTACTTGAGTAATCAGTGTCTTCATCTGCACGCATTGGAGCATGGCTCACAGAGGGGAAAGAACGAGCATTTGCTATATACTTTGTTGAGATGTCTTAAAGTGCTTCACAGAATATACTGTAAAGTGAATTGACTGTATTTTGTGGGCGAAATGCAGCAATCAGTTGTGCAAAGTAATGTCCCGCAAACAGCCATGGAGTGAGTGACCATATTTTTTATTTTTGAGGGGACTGTTGGGCAGGAGACTGAAAGAAACTCCCTTCACTTTTCAAATAGTGCCATGGGATCTTTAACATCCACCTGAACAGGCAGCTGGGACCTTGGTTTAAAGTCTCACCCGGAGGACGGAATCTATGGATTAATATACTCTCTTTCCACCAGTTATTAAATTTGGATCACTCCCATAAATAGTATCAAGGATGCCACTGGAGATATAATTTATGCTAGAAGTCACCGTGAATGTTTTGTCTGAACAAGATCTGCACATTAAAAAAATGTTTTCCTTCTCCCTGCCAAATCTAACAATAACAAATGAATTACATTTTCCAAAGTGTTTTGATTGAAGGATCCTTCTGTAATCTTAAGGGGCCAATTTTATTTTACTGACAGGTCTCCAAGTCTTACAGCAAAAAGCTGTTTGGGGTTGCTTCCAGGGCAAGATGTCAGCATAGCTCAGTTGTTCGGACTTTGCCTATTGTAAGTTCAACCATGTTAAATGTTGAGCACATAATTTTTTGCCTACAAAATACAGTCACCAAATTTTACAGTTGAGTGAAGTGGTTTGAGATGTCCTCCTGATGTCAAAGGCGCTATATCAAATGCAAGGAGTATTTTTGTTAATCAGTATTATTCTTAATCTAGACTGGCACTACTGGGCAGTCCTGGGAGAGAGCTGCACTTTAAGATGTTACTAGTACTATATCAAATGCAAAAGGTTCCTTTGCTTAAAACTTAATGGGCTAGACTAGTAAATTGTGACTGATCTATCGGTGAGGAATTAAATCGGTGAGCTGCCTTGAGAATGCACAGCACATGACCAGGGCACTGCTCTTTGTAAGGCTCTGCCTTCCATTCATTTAGCTGTAAAACTGAAGCACAACAAGTTTAAGGCAAGGGTCATCAGCTTTTGTATTTCATTGGACTCAAGCGAGCTATAAGAACATCCAGCAGTGATACCAAGTGAAGCACTGCCCTGCCATGAGCCACTGGAACAATAGGAATAATAAAAATAATAAACTGCACATTGGATTTGGCATCTTTCATGTTCAAATTACCTCAGTTAATTACTTTAGATGGTATATCATCAGCTGATCTTGTCTAGGGGTTAGTTCAATTGTATAATAATGGTACAGAATTATCCCATTGTATTAACACACTGCCCTCAATAACAATAACAGTGGTTTTCATCTATCCGTCAGCATGACCCACTTCCCTCCCTCTCCCGACTCTGCGATCTGAAATGCTTGCGACAGTCACTGGATTTTCAGAACACAATTTTAAGTCTCTTCTCAAGAGCTGCAGAAAAACAGCTTCCAAATTAAGACTGAATCTTAAGAATTTTCCAAACTTCTGCATGATTAGACCAAGGCAAATGATAGGGAGCTGAGCTGGGGCTTCAAGTTCCTGCAACAAATGCACAAATAATACTAGCAGAGAGAAAGTTAGAAAGAGAGAGACAGTGCATATCAATAACATTTAGAAAACCTTGAATTAAAAGTTTATTTTAGACTTGTTTTCGGAGTCTGAAAATGAGAGTTGATTCTTGTTTTTAGCAGCAGATTTGTAAGTGTTTGTTTAGTTGGCTCACTTGGGATGATATCATTCATGTTAATGCCTGTGACCAAAAGGCAGACTGAAATAGGCATGTTTGGTCCCTCAGCATTTTCTGAAATATTAAGGGTAATTATTCTTAAATGCTTAATTTTTTCAATCTCCCACTTCTGCTTATATTTTAACAAAATTCTAGATTTTTTGGCTGGCTTTTTGCCTTATAGGAGATATGGGGATAGGGCAGGTAATTAGAGTGAGGTCTGAAGATCAGCCATGATCGTATCGAATGGTGGGGCAGGCTCAAGGGGCCGAATGGCCTACTCCTGCTCCTAATTCTTATGTTCTTATGCTGTTAAACTTGGCTTAATATAATTGGGTATTATAGGGATATCAGTACCAGACTGAAGGTTAATATTGCAAACACTCAAAAATGTTATATTTTGTCCTAAAGCTGATCCATCTTCCTCTGCTCTGCCAACTCAGCTTGCTTCATATCACCCGCCCCTCTCCACAAACAATAGTTCATTTCATTGCTGTTTTGGGGATGACGTTGTGGCAGATTACCAGCTTGGTTACCTCCATAGTATCGGTTACCTCCATAGTATCACAATTCACAGTGTATTGTAGTTCTAACGTGACATCAAACACAAATATTAATCATTAATCAGTGCATTTTTTTAAAAAAAGGGAAAACCTCTTCTGAATATCATCCTGCTGATTATCGTGTTTGTGGAATATGTCCCATCTCAGAGCAAAAGACAGAAATACGTGTCATTGAGACTGAATCCGCTGACAAGGCCAGGATTCCCCATCTCCCCCATCCCAAGCCCCATATCTGGATCAGAAACAGGAACATTTCGTGCATGTATTTAACCAAGGACTATGATAACATTTTGGGATAAAAATAAGAAAGTTGAAATTTGCTAGTCATTTAGAAAATTGAGAACAGAGTCCTTGTGTAAGGAGATTCTGTAACCCCAAACTTTTCATGTTCTTAGTCTTAAGAAGACAGTTGTCTTAACATTTAAGAACATTGAGAATTTTGGAACACCTTCTTTAAATTCAGTCTTAAGTTGGAAGCTGATTTTCCTCAGTTCCTATAAAGGAGGAACTGGGAAGAAAAATCATCCTCCAAAATAAGATTGAATTTAAGGTTATTTTCCAAAATTCTGTATGGTCTTAAGCATTGGAAAAGGAGAAATTTCACAAGGATGCAGAGGCCTGGAATTCGAACCTTAGCTTGTAGGATGATGTAAGATCACGCACAATTGTGGAAAAATCTTAAATTCATTTTTAAAAATTCTTAAATTCAGTCTTAATTTGGAAACCTGCTTTCTGCAATTCCTAAAATGACCAGGCTTCCAAATCAAGTCTTAGAAGAAAACAGAAGCATTTATATTAAACTTTTGGAAACAATGTCTAACACTCCAGAACAACCTGTGAGCAGATAAATAATGCCAATGTTAATTCAATCAAAACAGCAACTTGCACAAAATCTCTCTGTAGAATCCAGTGTCATGTACGTACTCACCCTGGCTGACTGCTGTCCCGATAGGGCATTACTGAAAACACTGAGCAGAAGGATCGCTTGCCACTGATTAGCACTATCCTATAAAAGGAGAAATGAACAGTCACTCATGTTTACGTTCACTGTTCTGGCAAACACAACAATAAGATTATCTTTTCGTGAGCTGTACTCTACAGGTGAATATGTGGAGTCCTGTAACATATTGGTTAGAGCACTCACCTCCCAGGCGAGAGGAGCCGGGTACCAATCCCGGGCATGGAGAAACCTTTGTCAAGTTTCCTTACTCCACATTTGAATTTGGTCATTCAATCCACGACTGTTTGTGGGACATTGCCGTATGCAATTGGCTGCCGCATTTTGTCCACAAAAATATGCAGCCAATTCACTTAACAGTATATTCTGTGAAGCGCTTTGAGACGTCTTGGCAACGTGATAACACACTATTTCAAAACCCAAGGATTATTATTATTATTATTGTGTCTCTTTAGTAAAAGGGTGAAAGATACGTGGAACAAATTACCAGAACAGTTGGAAGAATGAGGAGCTTTTTGAAAAAGGGTTTCAAAGAGAAACAGGATAAGTTTGCCGAAAGTAAATAGATTCAGGGTTATTGGATGATGAGAAAGATGTGTCGAAGGAATTTTTAAAAGGATGGATGGTCAGCTTGATCAGTGTTTGTCAACCTTTTTGACACGAGGGACCGGTGTCAACAAGGTTGAGAAACACTAATCAAGCCAATACATCTCCTTAAAAGGTGGTGCACAGCATGAAAAAGGGTCATGAGTGAAGCAGCATAACACAGCTTCCTGGACTTCCTCCACTACAGCAATCGGTTACTTTGTTTCATGCAGATGGTCAAACAAAGCCAGAAGGGAACAGTGCAAGATAATTGCTAGTCCATTGCCAATTATTCCACTCAGATACAGCTCACCTTACTGTCATACACACAAACCAAACCCGGCATTGGATCTTACGAAATGAACCTGTTAGGTCACAAGATCTAGATACACCTGGCATGGTCCGGTCATGAATAGCTTCTACGACTGTTTGTGGGACATTGCTGTGCGCAATTGGCTGCCGCGTTCGCCCACAAATATACAGTCAATTCACTTTACAGTGTGTTCTGTGAAGCGCTTTGGGATGTCCTCCTGACATGAAAAGCGCTATATCAAATGCAAGGATTATTATTATTATTATATAGCTTTCAAAAAGGAACTGGATCAATAACTAAAAAGAAGCAGACTACAGGGAAATGGGGAAGGGCAGGTAATGGGACTGAAAGGATCGCTATTAAAAGACCCAGCACAGACACAATGGGCCAAATGGCCTTCTTTGCAATAAATGTCTGTGGTTCTATATAGCACTGTGTACACAATGAGTAATAGTATATAGCACTGTGTACACAATGAGTAGTATAGCTACTGTATATTGTTACTCTACAGTATGTAATAAATTAACTATACTGTTCACATACATATTAAATAATACAATAGCTAGGATATTACTTTATTCAATGAGGATACTATTGGACAGGGATTCTAAAACTTTGTCACGGTGAGCCTCCCTAAGCCAAGAAAGAAAGATAATTGTGCTTCTCCACAGTTCAACACAACAACATTAAGAACCCCCGTCCTCCACAAGAATAAAAGCATCAAAGTAAAAGGGCTGCAAACAACATACTTACAATAAGATACGAGCATCTAAAGCACCAATTCTACTTCACAAAGCACCCTGCATGCTATCTACAGCTCTGCCCAAAAAAGAGCATAAATGTCAGCAGCCAAAACAAAACTGCACAAACACTCCTGAAAATCATACCACCAAACAACTGTAGACCACACAATAGATCAGTATAAGATAAATCGCCATTCATTTTTTAATAGAATTGGAATTGGCTTCATAAGTTTCTCTCACAAGTGGCCTCTGAGTCTCACAATCTCCCCCAATTGCAAGGGTGTGTCATACCAGGCAGCAAACATGTGAGATAAGAGAGGCCTTCAGTTCTTCTGCCACCATATCACACATTAGAACACTCCGCTATTACAAAGTGTTTCAGGAACTGCTGTAACTCACCAAAACAATGCCATAGACTACCAGCCTCTGGCAACTATGGGTCTGCAACTGAGCGTCATCCCAGAGCAAAGTCATAGTTTACATGACTAGGCCATTTGGACATCCTATTCCTGATTGAACCTGAAATCTCAGCTTTACAGTGAATCAATTAACTCCCAACGTAAACTTTCTTTGCACATCTGGATAATAGTTTAATCAAGTGAGCACAAGATTGGGACTAGAGGATTGAAATCGCAGTGGGTCCTGAGTTCAAAACCCCATGGGTCACCTCTACCTTTCAAGGTTTTTGAGTATTGCATCTGAAAATATCCTCCTTGGATGGGAAGAGATAAGTGAATGTCCCTGAGGTTAGTCTAATTCCCAGTAAACTTGTCTGGATATGACGGGCACATGCACAGTTACCCAAGGCTCTGTAATGGTTGACTGGCTTGGCCGGCTAATCAATAAGACCTCGAGCTGTAGATATGTCCTCAAGCATGCAAGGCCTCCTTAAGAGGCAGGGCCAAACTGGATAAATCTTCTGCTTTGCATTGATAAGTTATGTGGTTTCCAGTAATTGCTTATTTTGATACTAAACATTGCATAAGCATTTACTGAAAGCATTTTATTGTGTCTGAATACTTGCTAAGCAAATCTTTAAGTAATTAAAAGATATTGAGTCGTGGATTAAAACTCACCTAATTGTTTAGATACAAATGCCAGACAGTCCAATGGTTACAATGCAACAATTCCAAACTAAGAATTCCAATGTTGTCTTTGCTAATGATGCAGAATGGAAGTAACAACAAATTGAATTTATATAGAGCCTTTCACGTCAGGACGACGTCCCACTAAACCTGCTTTATAAGGAGGATTAATTCAATAGTTTAGCAAAACACATTTTCCTTGCAGATGTCACTTAATCCTGAGTATAATTTGTAAATTGTGAGGGATTAATGGTGAGATTGTTTGTACACAGCTCAGAGCTGTAACAGCCTTGCAGCGAATAAGAGGCAGTTTATCCCACTCTTGAGGGATTTCTTTTGTAGAGACTGTGATTTGGAGGCCAGTTATATCAGATAAATGCATAACTAATTGGTCAAGAAGTATCCTCAATTTTGTTTGGATTGTGCCTGCTGTTCACTGGGGAAGAATGAGGAATCCTGGATTGTATATTTTCTTAAAGGGTTAGGGTTAGAAAATAACTAGAAAATAACCAAATTCATCCTGCTGCTCAGCTACTTGACCTAAGAGAATTTGAAGCCATTCCAACCTCATACGGCTACACTCCTTGTGGAAGTCAAATGCGTGCTATACATTCGCCAAGCTTGCAATCATTTTGGAATAGGCTTGCTCCAGGCCTTTCTCAGGACCTTTCTGATCAACCACGTTTACTGCCATTTGCTTCCCATAGCTAATAAGTGTGACAAACTCCTTCAAAATGTGACAGCGGGCATTAAAGAATAGATGCAAATAAAATTGGCACCCTATTGCAGTTTTGTACTGCTTACTGCGATGTAATATGTTTTCAATTTTCTTTACATTTACTTTTAATGCCTCATTTAACCTTTCGAAGAGTTGGTCAAACGCTGGACTCTTGACAGTTAGCCAAAAGGTGTACGTTGCAGGATAAAAAGCATTTTCAACTTTGCATTGTCAGGAAAAGATTATTCACAATTAAAACAACAAATAATAATAATCCTTGCATTTGTTATAAAACCTTATCATGTCATCGAGACGTGTCAAAGCGTTTCATAGGATATACTGTAAAGTGGATTGACTATGTATTTTGTGGGTAGACACTGCAGGCAATTTGCGTAAAGCAATGTCCCACAAACAGTTATGGGTGAGTAACCAATTTTATTTGTGGGATTTGTTGGCCAGAACACCAGGAAATACTAACTTCTCTTTTCGAATAGTGCCAATATTATCTGTAATGCATCTTTCAATTCTGATTTCCATACCAATACCTACTGAATGTGTGGCTAATCATAGAGATCTGGCAGAAGGTTTAGAATTTGTGTGCAAATTTCAAGATAAGACTGAGGAACTTTGAAATATTTTCCCACTGCCACAACCACAACCTCCTATTCATCAGGCGTGTGGGTAATGAATGTCTAGTATGTGAATGACTAATGCACTTGTCGGCTTTGTGTCAGCTTGGCATTGATGTTAAAATTCTATGGATCAGATTGTGGATTCAAGGCCCATATTGTCACCTTGAGCTCATATTCTAGACGAGACTCCAGCATATTGTTGGGGGGAAGCAATGCATTGTCGGAAGTGCCATCCTTCAGATAAGATATTAAACTGAGATCCCTTCTACCTGTTAAGGTAACTCTCCCCCGTTTAGCTTTTCATATAGTTTTATATTTATCTCCAAACACATCATTTTTGGGGTCAGCCGGGAGTCCCATCACCACGCTTAAGAGTATCCAAACCAAACTGAACCAATACATAGATATTTATTGAAATGGATGCGCACTCTCTCAAACACATCTCAAAACTAAGCTTTTATTAAACATTGAGAATTTACTGGGGTCTGTTTTCCAAGTTTTTTTTTACCCTTTGGGGATTTGAGATGCTGTGGCCATATGCCTGTTACCATCGAATTAAACCTCTGAGTTACTTGAAAGTTATTCTTCCCTCTTTGCTCTCGTTAATCTCTTACCAAGACCCTATCAGTGCCACTCAGAGTGGTCACTAGGTGGTGAGCAAGAGCAGCACAGGGTGAGTCTCCCTCTGCTTTCCCACTCTCTGTGGGGCATGTTTAATGTCACGGATGGGAGTGGCGTTCTCATGGGCGAGGGTGATGTACATGCAGTTACCAGCAGGAATCGATATTTACGAATCCTTTTGTGAATATCACATTTTCTATTCTAAAATCTATTGTTTCCTTTCTCTTGTTCCGATAGTATAAATGCATTCAAGAGGAAGCCAGGCCTTTACATGAGGGAGAGGGATACGAGGATATAGGAGGGAGTCATTTTTTGGGGGGTCAGCTGTGTGTCTGACACATGCGGAAACCCATCACCATGCTTAAGAGTATCCAAAACAAACTGAGATTTCCAGGCATCCCACCTAGAGACGGAAATCCCAGAGATAGATTGTTGGAATGAAATGTGCAATCTCTCCCTGGAGGGACACATGCTGCTTACCTAATTCCAGAAAGTATTAGGCGTATAGTGTGTGTTGGGGTGCAGCTGGAGTCTAACCAGCTAAAACTGCTTAGCTTGCGATTGATATTGCTGTCCAGCAAGTTTTCCCACTGCTTGTCCAGCTAGGACCTGCAGGGTTAACAGGAGCTGAGTGGCTTGACTCCCTACCCCCAGTGACTGGTCTGCCCTTCCAGGTCCTACCGATGAGCCAGGCTGGCTGTACTGTCATCAGCAATGCCCTGGAATACTGTGGACCTGCCTGGCTCAGGAACCATGGAGATTCACGTGGAATATAAACACTGGCATGGACTGGTTGGGCCAAATGGCCTGTTTCCATGTGTATGTACTTTGTAAATCCTTGTAAATATTCCTTGCACTGTGGAGAACACCACCATCAATGCTGATTCAGTGGTTAATGTCGGTTCTCATTTGGATTCTCTACAGTAATATATAGACATACACAATAATTGTTTCAATCATATGAACGGACTGGGATTTTTTGTTTATTGGATAGAAATAATAAACCACAAAAATACCAAGTATGGACTAATTTATATGGATTACTTTTCCATTAAACCTTTATAACATGAAATTCTATTATAAAGCCTTAGCAAAAAACATTGCTGCCCTTAGCAAAAGATCCCATTATGGAATGAATTGGGTGAGAGAAGGGAGTCCTGACCAAAAATTCCCCAAATAAAATTGGGAGATGGTGCTGTGTGCAAAGTGGCTGCTGCATTCGCCCACAAAACACACAGTCACAACACTTTACAATATACCTTGTGAAGCGTTTTGAGCTGTGCTCCTGTCATGAAAAGCACTATGCCAACTATAAACATTTTTATCTTATGAAATTGGAGAGAAGCAAGCGAATGTTTGCAAGAGCAATATCAATAAAATAAACCCAAAAAAGGTTAAAGATTAGATGGATCAGATGGAATTTTTTCTAAAATACTGTCCAGGAATGTGAGAAAGATGCTGGAAGAGACTCCCCTCAGTCTTCAAGCCTTAGACAAACTTGGGCTTCAGAAGAGTTAAGAATTACTGAGGGGAAAAGAAAATTTTGGCACTAAATGTCATGAAAACAACTAAACATTCAAATATTATCTATCTGGGAAGTGAAATGACAGTGCTCAGTAATGTCACTAATCTCGGCAACGCCTGATTAAAAAGGGAGTTCCCCTTTCCCCACAGTGTATCAACCTGGCTCAGTTATAGCTTCTGAGTCAGAAGATTCAAGCCCCATGTTAGGTCTTTGAACTTATATAGTCTAGGTTGACCACTCCTTTGCAGTGCTGAGGGTGTGCTGCATTGTTAGAGGTGATATCCTTTGGATAAGATGTTACACTAAGGACCTGTTCAAATGGACATTAAAGATCCCATGGCAGTATTCGAAAAGAGAAGAATTTCTGCCAGTGTCGTGGACAACAATCCCCAAATAAAATTGGACATTCACTTCATGGCTGTTTTTTGACAATTGCAGTGCGCAAATTAGCTGCCACATTTGTTTACATATTAATCACAACACTTTACAGTTAATTCTCTGCTTTGAGACATCCTACTCACATAAAAGATGATGTTTCAAATGCAAGGATTATCAGATTGGAGCAAGGTTAGTCATTTTATGGACCAGTAGAATTGAATCCCTTATTTGATGTTACAAAATAAAAAGCATGAGGAAAGTCAAGGGAATGGGATTACAGTTCCAATTAACCAAATGGATAATTTTACACTCAGTTGCTACAGAGCTATAAAAACAGTGATTGGTATCTGTGCTGTACCAGGTATACCCTACAAGCAGAAATGACTAAAATGGTAAGAAAGTTCAACATAATTCAACTAGATCAGTGACGTTGACAAAATAAAAACTACCTCACCAATTACCCTTTTATCATTCTTTCTTTAAAATCGTTCATATTTGGGCTATTTTGTTTCTCTTGTGAAACAAAAACAAATGTAAGCACACAAATTCCCAAACCTTGAGTTCAGCTGGTTTGGTACAGCTGAGGCAGCAGAGAAGTAACTGGGCCTGTAGCCTTGAGAGTGTAGCTACAGATATCACAGGGGATTCTAGATTTACACAATGAACTAAATACAAGTCATTTAAAGTCAGGGTGCAAAACAGGAGAGCAAAGAGTTAATAGAAAAGGGAAGGACTTACATAGAGAATGAATGGCACAGATTCAGGCCATTCAACCCTACTAGTCTGTGCTGTTTTTTTGTCCTGTTCGGCAGGTTGCAAGGAAAAATAATAAAATAATAACATTCCCTACATTTGCTGTAGCACCTTTCATGTCAGGAGGATGTCTCAACACTCTTCCCAGGACTTTCTATAAACTGGAGTAAACTCCTGATAACTCGACCTTGGCTAAACTTGTCACTAACACTTAAGTCATCATGCTACCAATAATGCAGTCGTATTTATTTATGCATTTATACATAGGCCTAACTCAGCATTCTGGATAACTCTTCACTGAGCCCTTTTCCCTTGGAGTGATGAGCTATCAGGAGTTTACTGTTTTTTAATACAATAACATTTAATTCAGCATTTGATTAACTTCTGATCATGTTGAGATGTCTCAAAGTGCTTCACAGTATATACAGAAAATTGGAGTGGGCCTATTTTGTGGGAGAATAAAGAATAAAAAAAACAAGAGATGGCAACACAGAACATCAACCACAGCCTGGATAATAGGTAAGTCTCCAGGAGTGACAATGATTTAATAATAGCCATCTTTTTAAAATCCTATTATAAAGTCGTATTTAAAAAAATCACTATGTTTAGTGATCAGAGTAAGATAGATCCCCCCCTTGCCTTTGTAATTTGGTTGATGTCATTCAGTGGCCAAACATAGAATCAACTGTCCCATTCTAAGAATAGGTTTCCAATATTCTTCAAGCAATAAGTCATCCTCTTCCTCCCCAGGCAACACCATTGGCTGTAGCAACTAATGGTGTCTGGAGGCAGGAAGGCTCATTTACTGAACTAAAACAATGTGACAGAAAGTTGTGATCCCCTCCTGACTCACTGTTGACATTGCCAGCACTCAAAGCCCTGCCTCCATAGCAACACTTCACATTTTTCAAAGGGATTCATGTAAAACAGAGAAACATTTGGTAAATGTACCTGCCGTTGCGGGTATCATGCTGCCGCATGTTTTTGATAAAGTGAATCTTCTTGAAGTTCTTTGGTCTGGGTGAACCTGATAGAGTCCGACATCTGTAATAAATCAAAGCAACAAAGAAAAACTGAGTGTTATTGGCTTTGAGGCAGCATAGTCCATTCTAATTCAAAATACAAAGACAGGAAGCAAAGAGTGGACAAGACACAGGCCCAGGTTGCTGCCTTGGCATTTGAGGAAGCTGTGGCGGAATGCGAGATGAACATTTGAGAGTAAAACGCTGATACACTCTCATTCAGCTTCCTTTGATTTTGTTGCTACATATTGCAGGTTACATTGTTGACTAATGACATATTTTGCAAACAGGGGACTCCGAATCTTCTCTTTGTTGCCTGAAGCAACATGCAACATACTATGGAAATGCATCCATGGCTATGTAATACATTAGTGCATCTTTATAATGTACATCAATTAACTCACCCTAGTCTTGGAAGGCTATTGTGAAATTGTAATCGTAGACTGTAGCAGTGTTTTGTTGATTGACTAACCCACCTTACGATGGCAAAACAAACCAGTTAGAGACGTTGAGTACATTGCATGTGGTCTCACCTCCGTAAGGGAGCATTTTCCTCAATATCTTCCAGGGTTTCTAAAGAAGAACGCTGGGAAATCAGTCGGCGCCTGGAAAGAATAAAAGGACCTCTCAATCAGTCAATCTTCACTATGACTGTAAGGAATTAACCATTTTCTTTTACGCAATCTCATAGCAAGTGCATTCTGGCTTAATAATTGCACATGTATTAGTATATTCAAGAGCCCCCAAATACCTCATTGCCTTAATCTCAACACTCTTGCCTTACAATTTAAGATAGCACAACATTTTGGAAAATTCTTAACTTCAGTCTTTTAACAAATAGTTAAAAATTGGCTTCCAAATCGTTAAATAATTTTAAACTCTGCACAATCTTCAATTTTAAGAAATAGTTCCAAGGCTAAAGTCAGATTTTGAAGCCTCAATTTATGTAAACCAAAGATTAAGAATATAAAGTGTAGGGGACGGGAAAGGGAGGGGGAAGAAAAAATTGAGTCTGTCCAGTAGCAATTTGTCCCTCACCGTAATTAAAAAAGAAGTCTTCATCTCTCATTATTTTATGTGCAGGAAAAGCTGGATAAAGAGATGGATGAGATTTCTTTCTCATGTGTCAGTCTGACTCGTTCCTCGAAGGTCTTATTTGAGCACAGTCAAGCTAAATAGAAGACATGCTCACACACGCCAACCTCTATAGCCAGAGACTGGAGTAACTCACACTGCCAGCTGTACAAAGAATCAGAAAGCACGCTTCAAAACCTCCACCCTCACCCCGAGCACCTGTATTTGGAGTACTGGCAGGTGGGTTGGTAACCCGAGGACACCGATTTAAAATAGTTGTTAAAAGAGAGGTGGGGAGAAATGTTTTTTTCACAGCGAGTTGTTCGGATCTAGCATGCATTGCCTGAAAGGGTGGTGGAAGCTGATTTGATAACAGCTTTTAAGAGAGAAGTAGATAACTATTTGGGGAGGACAAGTTTGCAGGGCTATGGGGTGCAAGTTGGGGATTGGGATTGAATTGAGTAGCTCTTTTCAAAGAGCCGGCATAGACACGATGGGCCGAATGGCCTCCTTCTGTGCTGTATAATTCTATGATTCTATGATACTGTATGTTAAACCTTCGCACAAGCTCATAACTTCTCATGAATTCTATTCACAAATAAAAAAACAAGCAAATTCTTTTCTGCTTTGTTTCCCAAGGTTTATTCAAAAGAATCAGGGAAAGAAAATGTAACTGAAAAACAGGTTCATTTGGAAAAAAATCAGGATTCAATTTTTGGAACGTCTGCTTACTTTTTGCATCGGGAAGCCTAGCTGGTTACAATACCAGCCCCCAGGAATAAGCAGGCAAGCAGGGTCCAGACTGCACACAGCATGGCACTGTGGTAGTGGTGGATGGGTGGTGGGATGCCTCAAGCTGTGGGTGAAAATAATTTGTTTTAACTGATTGACATGCCGGTCTTTAATGTGATCTTTATTCCACTGTCACTGTCGGCTGCAGTGCAAGCAACACCCAGGTATTGGCACTTACTATCCAGCTGCCTGACTGCCTCTAATGGTCGGGGAAAGTACAAGTGACAAAAGGCTGGGCTGACATCTACTGATGCTCTGAGCCTCTCAGTTGGACAGAGAGATCCAGTACTGTTTAGGATGGAAATATATATATATTCAAATCCCGGGTCAGTGAAAACTCCCTCTTTAAAGTGAGGCAGTACCCCCACCGCCCCCATCCTTCCCCTTTCATTTACTTCACTGTGTTAATGTACCAAAGTTGAGGCTGTCATTGACAGCAGCAGCTGCATAAAGTAAACAGAGCATTAAACTCTCCCATACTATAAAGCACAGGGCACGAGTTGACCAGCTCTGCACTCAAAACTTCACTCAAGACATCTTAACTTTTATAGTAAGTGTTATAAACGTCCACCCTGTTTGCTCATGAAAAGCTCCCTCCCCCCACCCGAGATGTTAGCAAAACTTACACCACCTGAACCCAAAGTGTGTAAACTACTCGCAACTAGAATTTACAAAGGCCTCGTATGCCAGTAAAGGTCATTCCTGAGTGATGTCATTTCTTCATGGTACATGACAGCAGAGTATTCTTTTTGTTTTATATATAATACATTTAGTAAATCATTTCATCACATGCAGCATTTTGGAGGCAATGGAATAGATGTGGGAGTCCCCTTTGTTGATCAGAGGAGATATTGCAGTGATAATAATAATAATAATTATTACTATTATATTGCAGTGAGACCAGGAATGTCAAGAGGGGAAGGATAGAGACCAAAGCAATCAAAATGCGAGAGGCTGCAGATTTCCGTGGGTGACTTTATGATATGATTTGCAATTGCCCACCGAAAGGACATGCAGAATTGAAAGTTTAGTGATTCAGCCATTGCAGTACAAGCACAGAGATCTAAAACATAATAATAATAATCCTTGCATTTGATATAGCGCCTTATCATGTCTTAGAGATGTCTCAAAGCGCTTCACAGAATGTACTGTAAAGTGAATCGGCTGTATATTTCGTGGGTGAAAAGCGGCAGCCTATTATGCACAGCAGTGTCCCACAAACAGTTGGAGATTGAGTGACCAAATTATTTATATTTATTTTGAAGGAATTATTACCCCTAGAAAAGCGACTAACAACCAGGTTTCTACTTACTGCTAGGTAAACAGAGGAGTGTGGAGTAAGGAAACTTGCCCAAAGTTTTGCGCAGCCGGGAATCGAACCCAGGTCTCTCGCTTGCGAGGCGAGTGCTGTAACCAGTGAGCTACAGGACTCCAATGTAGGCGAATGTAGACTGGAATAATCAGCAAAAGAATGGATGATAAATGAACGGGGACGCTGGAGACAAGCAATGACAAGTTTCTTGGACAGTGAACATAAATAAGAGTTGTTAAATGTTGCAAAGCATAAGAGAAAAGATTAAAGGTTTAACTCCATGGTTGGGGATTACTGTCCAATGTATTCATTTGACTATTCATTTGTTGCAGTGAGAACAATGATGCCCATTCATGCTCAGGCTAGTTACAAGTTTGATTTGTTTTTCTTAAATCCAGGTTAGTCACTGCAAGCTGAACTGTGTTAACCTGGAAACAATGAGACCCTATTTCTCAAACAGCCCCAACCGTACTGGTAAGGGAATTTACAAAGGATTTGGTTGCCGGCAGGGAGGTTGGGAAAATGAGGGGGAGTTATCCAGGCCGGACTCGCCTGTCTCCTAGCAACAGCCTCAAGAGAAGCATCTGAAGTGGTTGTCTGTCTGTACTCGTGGCCAAGAAGTAATAGGTGATGTGCAGAAGGGAGAGCGGTTCGATCAAAGTGGAGGCAACCCATGAGAAGTCCTCCCCACCTCGCAGCTCCAGTTGAGCACGGGATCACTTAGGTCTACTGAGGACGTGCACTAAGCGGAAGCATGGTACCCTCGGTTTCCAGGGCTGCTCTGATGGCTTGCTACGCTACAAAATGGTCGACCTCTAAGTCATCAAGTTGCTGCTGACATCACCTCCCATATGTTCTGTGCAGAAAGTGCTGATAATGTCACTTTCTGTGTGCGTGGATATTCAAGAAGCACCAGGTACTCGACCTGGTACTCTCCTGGTACTCGACAATATTCACAGAGATAAAACTGGTTATTCACTTCATGGTTGTTTGTGCGACAGTGCTGTGTGCAAGTTGACTGCTGCGTTCGCACAAGATACAGTCACTACACTTTACAGCTGTGAAGGTCTTTGAAACATTCTCCTGATATATAAGGTGCTATATCAAATGCAGCGATCATTATTTTTAAACTGGTTTTGGAGACCAAAGTGCAATATATTGCATTACCCACCATTAGTGAGCATCTTACTGCTGTCAGTCCATCTAAATAACCCATTTAGATCAGCGGACAATGTATCTGCCTCCTCTCTGGAGCCCACCTTGACCTCCATGACCATGTTTCACACAATACCAAGATGTGGGGAGGGGCAGGAGCAGAAGTGGCACAAACATGCCACTGATTGACATGAGCAATTTGCACAAATGTAGTTTTTGAAATGAGGCCGGATGGTATGTGCTGGGAACAATGGGGCAGTAAGAGAATCAATTGGTTGTATTACTGTAACAAAGGCAAATAGTACGGCACTGCCCAAAATGGAGAAGCTGAGGTCCCAGAGTTATAGGTTGGAATGCTCCATGGGGAGTCAGAGATGCAAGTCTGTCTATTCACCTCATGTTAGGGAATCTAAACTGGCATTGACCATTTTATCCTGATATTATCTTATTATAGAGATTGGCACTGAGGGCAGTTCATGGAGGAAAGCCCACAGCCCAACTCTCCCTGACCCCCAGCCAGAAGGAGTATAAATCAGTGTTTCTCCAGCTTTTTAATACGAAGGATCAGATCAGTTTCTTCTTAAAATTGTAGGAGTCCTGTAGGTCAGTGGTTGGAGCACTCACCTCGCAAGTGGGTTTGATTCCCAGCAGAGCGAAACAGGGGGAAAAGTTTCTTTACTCCACACACCTGATAATAATCCCTCAAGAAAAAAAGCACAGTAATAATTTGGTCACTCAATCCACGACTGTTTGTGGGACACTGCTATGGGCAATTGGCTGCCGAATTTCACCTGCAAAATATACGGTCAATTCACTTTACAGTGTATTCTATGAAGCACTTTGAGACATCTAGAAGATGTGAAAAGCGCTATATCAAATGCAAGGATTATTATTATTATAAAATGCTTAATACTAAATGAACCTGTCTGGTCACTTGGTCTAAAGATATCACTGGTATGGGTAAGCCATCGAGTAATCGGAGAGCACCATCAGTCTTTGAGAAACACTGGAGCAAAGTAACTAAGAAGGGAGTTCATGAAAAGGGGCACATGACGGGGGTGGGGGGGGGGAGGGCTAGAGATACAGAATAAAATCTGTTGTTTTCATGATGTGTTTCAATGGTTCAGCTGACACGGCTGTTTCTGTTTCACATACACAATGCTCGAATATTATTGTTGCCATTACATCATCAAATTGCATCGGCACATTGCCACAGGCAGAGCTCTTTCTGCCAGTTTATCAGCCCGTGCTTTAGCACTGAGAAGCAAATGA